GCTATAGAGAACTATTGGATCCTATGTAAGTCCACCGGCAGTGGCTCTTTGAGGGTGTGTATTGTTATAAGTGATCACTACAGAAACTTTTGTGAGTGTTTTTCATCTTTTTAAATAAGTTCATTGGTTTTATGGTATTATGCTATGGATGTTTTTTGATACTTCTCCATTAGCATTGGTAAATCGAGAAAAGGAGGGGAAGGGGAATAATGACGATTTAAACATCCCTGTGGAAGGATGGATTGTACTCTGAGTGTTGTAAGACCATTTCTATCTGAATAGTCCACCTCCTCTGGTGGGTGAAGTCTGTGGCCAAACATAGATGAGAGTGATCACCTGATTTCATTGTTTGCACAAATTGGTGATTATTGCACTGCTTGTATTGTTTACACAAACTTACTGGGACTTTTGAGATAGTTATAGAGATTGTTAAGAGATTTTTGGCATCGTTTGAATCACTGAATACTTTTGTGAACTTTTAAAGCACAATGGCGCAACGGTTAGCACTTCTGCCCTGCAGTACTGTGGGTCACTGGTTTGAATCCTGACCAGGTCACTATCTGCAAGGAGTTTGCATGTTCTCCCTGTGCGTGTGTGTGGGTTTCCTCCATGTACCCTGGTTTCCTCCCACACTCCAAAAGACTTGCTGGAAGGTTAATTGGCTCCTCTCCAAGTTGGCCCTTCTATGTATGCATGCATATGAGATAGGTACCTTAGATTGTAAGCTCCTGTGAATGTGCACTATGTAAAGTGCTGCATAAATTGTCGGTGCTATATACATATCAATAATAAATAAAATGACTTCTTATTTATTTATTTAAATATAGTGCTGGGCAGTGTGTTCATCTTTATTTGAAAGATGGGCTACCACTCTTTGCAGAGCAGCTGAATTATTTCTAGATAGTAGTAGGTAGCATGGATCATATAGATAAGTATAACCTAGGAAGTTGTTGAAAGTGATAGGCAGACAGAAGGTAGCACTTATTGCATACAAGAGATGTTTCAAGTAAGCTTTGATTGCATTATGAAAAACAACTATAGTTTGTATTTATATTACAATGCTGATGTTATAACAGGATAGTATATGCTGGGACTTTGAAACTCCTTTAAGCAATATTCAATTAGGGGGTGGGATGATGTGAGTAAAATGTTCTTTTTAATTAAATGCTAGGCACACCTACCGTGTGCTTAAGCCCTCTGTATCAAACAATTCTCATTTTATGAGGTTTTTTTCAGAAAACCCTTGTTTTTACCATTTTTTTTTATAATTTGTTGCATCTCAGTGCTGTTGATCTTCTCCAGCCAATTTGCAGCGGCTGTCTTTCTGCATGCACTCACTCCAGTGTCTGTCATATGTCCATACTCAGGATGGGTAACAGCGAAATATGGCTGGGCAATAAGCACTGGCATTGCTGCTTAAAGTGATATTAAAGTCAAAAGGTTTTTAAAGCAGAAGTAAAGTGAAAAAAATTGCTAGGAGTTAGAGATGTTTGGCAGAAGAGACTTGCAAAGTCTCTTCTGACAACGACAAAAAAAAAAATGATTTCCCTCTCCCCTAGCAGATTTTTTTTCTGTATTTTCATTTTTTTGTTTTGTTTTTTTAGTTTTCTGTAACAATAATAGAACATGATTAAGTGCATTTAAACTTGTCTATTAAGGTATAGCTTTAGAAAACTTCCCAGTATTCTCTAAGGACTGATTAAACACATCTAATATTTGAATGTAAATTGGAATATGCCGTAATACATTAATGTTGCTGTATAATTCTTTCCATATATTTACAAGGCTTGTTTTCATCTTTTTCTGGTTTTGGAAGATCGCCTAAAGAACCACGGTAACTTTTTATTTGAAATTAAAATTGTAAAATTCCTTCGAGGCAGCATTCTTCAATTCAATAAAAATGTTATTGACCTTTTCTTTCAAATGTGTTTTTCCACTTTTTTTAATGTTTTTGATTGCCTGCTGTCTACCAGTGAAGAAGCATGTCTCATCCTTCAGGGCAACACATTCAGATATATGTCATTCTGTGCTATTACAGAAAGTTTTATATTCATTATGACAGATATATTCATTATATATTAATGTTGCATTGTATTAAACAGGGGACTAACCCAGTTCAGAAATTAATCAAAGCTGTCATAACAACACCATGCAATTACCTGTTAATAAGCCTATATCTGTATAATAGCTTACAAGCAGTGATTGTTTTTTTCCACATATTATTGAACACAGGAGGTTGACTGACTCTGAATAGGTTATTAGTTCTAAGCGCCAATGACATACAAAGCTGTTAAAAAAAATAGTTGTATTTATCTATCTGGTAATAGTATATGAATACAGCTTTGGCACTCTTCTAGCTATTTAATCACACTGCTGCTTGCCCTACTGCTGCCTACCTGCATTAGAGTTATGATGGGAGATGGATGCAGCTTCCTTGTTTTAGGACAGCAAGAGTCTACCAAGGGTATCAATGAAAGTAAATGACCAGCTGCTGTATTTATTCTGCATTTAGGGCAGGTTCACATGAAAATTGTGTAAACCTACCTGCAGTTCTAGTGCATTCCAGACCAGAAAAAATGAGACATGCAAAATGTTTCTAGTCTGGTCTGGAACAGACTGTGCTGGTGTGAACAGAGGCCAGAAATAGCATAGGGATACATTAGGATGCATTTTGGGTCCGGAAACAATCTGGTCTGGTGATGATGGTGTGAATGGGCCCTTAGGGTTTAGACTTCTGCAACATGTCACCTGCTGACCATTTTGTGTGTACTGAGCTATGCACCCAATTTCACAGTGTTAGAAACTTGCGCAGGCTATCTCCTATTACTCCACCCAAAAGACAATACATTCCTTTGGGTTTTTATGCTCTTCAAGGATGATTATCTTAATGAACAGTTCCATGTGACCTTTTGCCACCCTAATTAAATGCAAAAACAGATGTACATCTCTTTTGAGTGTCTCACTTTACGCTGCTGTGGTCTGCCCATAGACCCACAATGTTTACGAGCTCTTTGGAGCTGCTGATCTGAGTGCTCTTGTGAATGAAAGGACACCATTCATTGAGAGGTATGACCTGCCTGCCTCCCTAACTGCATAGTGGGCACAAAATGGGGTGGATCATGCCATGCCTAGGTTTATGCAAATACTGGCTTTTAGAAAGTATTTTCAAAGGATCCTCCAAAAGCATGTCAACATTGTAATATAAATAGTAGACTGTGTTACTGAGCAATCATAGCCAGTCTGACAGGGTTATTCACAAAAGGATGAAGAGTTTGGAGAAGACAGGAAAAGTAAACAATCTAGGCCAACATAGCTAATTTGGAGAAATTTTTTAATTCAGCCCACTTCCTGGTTTAGCTATATTGTCCTACAATGTTCACTTCTCCTGCCTTCTCCAAACTCTTCACCCTTTTGAGAATAACCCTGTCAGTTTTCTGTGACCTAGGCGGTTGCCATCCCCAAGTCTGTAGTTACCATAATGACACTACTGCCTAGGGCAGCAAAGTTTGAGGGGGCAATATCAAGTCACAGTATTTACAGATTCTGATAGCTGACTGGTGTTTTCAGAAGGTGGTCAGCAATAGCAGCTCTAATGTTTTTCTTAATAGCAGTTAAACCCCTTTGATATTTAGAGAACCACTAGCAATGTGAGGTAGCTGCAGGGAGGCGGTCTCCATTGTAACTTTTTTTCTCTCCTGTAGTGTGTAGACAAACTCACAAAATACTGTGAGGGGAATTAATCAAAACTGAAGCAGAGAAAATCTGGAGCAGTTGACAAGTGCAACTAATCAGCTTCTTTCTTCAGTTTGTTCAGTTAAGATATGAACATGAACGAGAGAAGCTGATTGGTTGTCGTGCACAGCTGCTCCAGATTTTATCTGCTCCATTTTTGATAAATTCCTCCCTGTGTGTGCAGCGATCTGTAGATTTTAGGCCTATAGCTAACAATGGCAAATCAGGCAGCACACACAGTTTTGGGAGAGGGAAAGAATATTAAAAAGATTTGAGAAGAACGGGATAGGCATCCACAGTGACACAGCTACAGTTTATGGAGTAAAGATTCTCAATTGCTTTAGTCAATCAGCTTCATTGTGTTCAGCTGTTACAAAAAAATCTCCCCTCAAAACAAGGATTTATCTATAATCACTTTTCACTTGGGTACAATACTATAATTTTGCACAAGGAGCCATATAACCTAAGGCTATTTCAGTTAGCAAACATAATCTATAGCGAGATCTCTACAGCTATAATTATGTTACATAATATATCACATAGCTTTCACAAAGTGACAACTAAGATTCACAAAATGTTTCTTCGTTGTCATTATTAATCACCGGTTTCAATAAATTTTGGAATTTATTCAAATGAAATCTAACTTGCATCTAACTTCGGAAACCTGTACTCTATATCTGCCATTACATTGCAATTAAATGAAAATACATCCTTCTGTCTGAATTATTCACATATTTGTTTATTTACTGTTCCTGTTATCCAGATGAACCCTCATAAAAACATCACTTTTATATTCTATTTTGTCTGTTTAATTTTTCTGTGTGTATGTGTTGCATGGCTCAGTTCTACTACATATAATGCTGTATAAAGTACAGTGATTTTATGGAACATCCATTAGTTCACTCAGAAAGGCAGCAAGGCTACTAAATAAGTAATGTGCTTGGTGGCAATGGAATATAATTTCCCAATAATACCCACAGAACTTACGGTTTTATGCAAATACTAAGTTATCGCTGCAATCAATCTAAAAATTATAGCTCTAAAGAGAAAGTTAGCTTGGACTCGGTCACGTACACACTAGAGCGGCATGCTCTGCCTTAGCAGCTCACGGTGTTTGTTCTCATCGGTGATATTAAATTCCCAACACCACACACAGGATATTAAATTCGCTTCACCTTCACTGTTTTTTCCATTTATTTTTCTATAATTCCATAAGCCAACCCACTGACAGCAAATGCTATAAATCTCTTAGATAATGAAGTCATTACCTCTTGCAGGATTCTCTTCATTTTGAGCAGTAATGTCTTTACAGATGTACAGTCTTGCATCATCAATCTGAAAGGCAATGATTCCAAGCCGTTGATGTCTTCCTGTGCAAAGGGCCATTCCACAGATGGGCTGGTGGGCACTTGGCAGACTCGAGGGCACTTAGTATCCTCTTGATCGCTTTCTCTTGGCAAATGTAGATAGAGATTTCTAGAAAAAATTATTGTTACATTTCATTTTTTGATATCAATCGACTTAATTCATGTACAGTATATAATCCTTAAAACCATGTTTTTATTCTTTCTTATAACATATTATACCATTTTTTTTATATATTTGTATTGTCCAACCACATTGCCTCTTCATTATTTGATTATTTTTTACATTTTGGCCTAGGCCATATGTTTTTTCCCTTTTTTTAATCCAACATTTGTTTGCTACACATGGATTACAAGAACTGATCATGTCGATTACCTTTTCCATCACACTGTGCATGGCATTCAATAAAGCTAACACAATACTTTTATCTAGTCAAAAGGTTGGCTGAGGAAGAGAGACAGATAGTTTAAACTTTTTTGGACAACTCCAACTAATCTGAGTTGGTATGGTTGGTGTTTCAGCTGCAAATATGTTTAGGACTATGACCTTTCTCACAAAAAAAAACAAAGCAAAAAACTCTGGGAAGAAACAGCTTTTGTCAGTTCTTCTATGTTTGTTAGCCCAAAGTGCAAAAACTGGGATCTAGCCTAAGAAAAAATGAAATCCTATTAGAAAACAGCTTAAGGGACTTCCGGTTCCGGCGCCTGATGTAGTGGTAGCAGACGAGAAGAGCTCCCGCGCGGCCAGGGCTACAACAGATATAAAATCCTACTCCAGCAAGCCGAATAACCTGGCAACGACTCCAAGACACTCTCTCCCCTTCCATATGGAAAGATTCCTGTCGAAACGCCGCTATACACCTCGCGGCAAAGCCACCCCTAATTGCAGAAACCGGCCGTTACCTTCCAAGATGGCCGACCTTAATGGCAAGCCGGACATTAGTGCCTCTTCGGATGAAGACTTGCCAACGCGATCTGACCATAGCCTCATAGCGGCTGAAGTGGCGAAATTACTGAAGCCCACCATTCAGGACGTGGTGCACAAAGCGGTTACCAAGGGCATCCAAACCCTACGACAGGAGCTTTTGAATCAGGCCCAAAGAATTTCAGAGGCCGAACAACGTGCTTCTGGAAGAGAACGTTTCACTTTGCAAAATAGTGCAAAATGAACAATGGAGAGAAACACAATTTAAAATCATGCCTTTCAAATTAAATTCAAGCCAACTCGAAACACTAATTTTACAACGTGACACTGCTGTACTGCTTTACTTTTCTTTACTAAAAATAAAAACTGTTTAAAAAAAAAAGAAAACAGCTTAAGAGTATCATCCCTGAATTTTAGTTTACTCTAGACTATTGGCCCATTCATACCAGATTCATTGGTCAATGCAGCCCCAACACAGGATAAGACCAACTGGTTTGCTTCCAACTGGACCAGATTACAACAACATGCCATGTTGGCGAGCTTTGGTTCAAAATGTAACAACGCATTACAGCTTGTAAAAACATGTTGCAATTTACATTAAGGGGGTGAAACATATGCTGTCTCCTGCTGTGAAAAAAAGTACATCCCCACAACAGGTTAAAAAAACAAAACATGCCAATGCATATCAACTCAATTGCATTTAGTTCATTTTTCTTTTTTAAAACAAAGTTTTTTTATGGATTTTGACAATGACAATACAGCAGTTTGCATGTAGTGTACAATACATATATCTTGTGATTGACACTCACCAGTTCAACAGTACAAAGTATATAAACAATTGAAATGTCAAAACCGAAGGCACCTGCACTCTAGGGCACTTTTCAGAAAGGGAAGGGAGCCAGATGAAAAGGTATTAGAAAAGAGGATGCAAAGAGCAAGGTAAAGGAGAGAAGGAAATGTCCGGTAGCGGAATGGACCTCCCAGGAAGAGCTATGCAATCAGAGGGCCGTGATGCTGGGAATGTCGGGATGAGCATATGTCATCCAAGGGTCCCAGACCTTCAAAGTTTTCTTTTGGGTGGCCAACAGGGCACTGGACAGTTCTTCATTAATAAAAAAACAAGTCAAGTCTATGTCTACCCCCCCCCCATGCGATTTGCTGCTTCTTCCATGCTTGTGCTATGGTTTGCTTGGCAGCCAGAAGAACGAAGACAGCTAGTTTATGTGGAGTCTGTGTAATGTTTGGGGGTTTGAGATGCAGTAGTGCAAACCAAGGGTCCTTGGCAACATTCATTTGTAAAAGGGATCGCAACGAGTGAAACGTTTTGGTCCAGAATCTACCCACCATCGGGCATGTCCACCAGATGTGCAGTACATCACTCTTCACTGTACAACCTTTAAAGCACAAGGCCGACTGGGAATGTGCCAGTCTAGCATGCACCATCTCATCATTGACTTGTACACTGATTCTAGAGAGGTGATATTGATGGTGCAAGATGCCGCCGTGGCCCACATCCGTTGCCAAGCCAAATCAGGCACAGCGGAGACAGCGTTGAGTTGGGAGTACAATATGGATATTAACTTAGGTTGTAAGAGCGTGTGATAGCAGAAATGTTCCATTAGGGAAAGTTGAGCAGTGGGCACCCTGCCTGCGAGGAGTGATGTTGACAAGTGTCAGAGCTGCAGATAACGGAAAAATTCAGCGGAGATGCATTTAGATCATTTATAATGCACACTAAACACAACACAAGCTTCTAAAATCCAGAAATCAGCTCATAAGTGGGACTAGTGGCATCACTGGACACTCTATATATACAGTTTATATTTGGACTGTATTTGATCAAGGGGCAGATATTGCCACTTACAGTATGGATTATAATGGCTTCTGCCTGCGTAACACAAGATGAATGAGGCCTATAATGAGGATTTGAAAGGGCTAATACTGGCCTTCTATAACACTATTCCCACCCTAGTTAATCAAATATGTACACAAAATGGAGAGTAGTAAACAAATTAATTAGATTTACTATCAAATGTCTACTGCTTGACCAATCTCTTTGCTCTATGTGTGACTGCTGCTAGGTGAATTCAGTAATTTATGCAAGTAGGATGGACTTTGTGTGTATGTGGCTGCAACAATTATATGTCCTACAAGAAATGAACACAGACTATTTTTCACTGCATTTTTAAAGAGAAGCTGTCAACAATGATGCAACAATAACACATTTTACTGCCAATACAAGATTCTAAAAAATAATGCTACAAATCATAGGCTTTTACTGATATCCTGTGTCAACCAATAAATCATTTCTATAAAGCAGGAGGTGGATTACAGAACAGTGTGCATTATAAGTTTTCAATCCAAGATTTGTTGATAGCTCTGGCAAAATGTTGCACAGATTGTTATGGTTTATGCTCTATAAATTTGTTAGCTATTGTTATGCATACTCAAGCAGAGAATTTGGCTGTAGGCTTAGGTCAAAGGCTTCTACAGAAAGCAATTTACATAAATGTTATTACAGCCTGACAGTGGGCCTTTTCTGAAAGGCTCGGTTGGAATGTCAGTTTACTCTGTGAACTAGCAAACATGGGTCTAGCCATTATTGGACCACAAGAGGGTTGGCATGGTGCTGAAGAGGTCACAATAGGTCTTATTTTCGGGGTAGGTCTTATATTTTAGCAATTCCCAAAAATAGTACTAGGTCTTATTTTCGGGGTATATATACACACACACACATTCACTTTTTATATTTCTCGGGGCATCATGGCAGCACACCATGGGTTAAGTTCCGCCCTCTTAACCCCACAGGACACGTGATGCATTTAGCTTCCTCCTAGCCACACTCATTCTAATATTCTAATAATGGGCAATTATGTTTTTGGAAAATTTTAATCCTGCTTCATCCCTTTTTCCCTTTACCTGCCGATTTCCTGGGGCTCCCCAGGCAGGGTCAGGTCTCCTCTGTACTGAAGACCCTGTTTCAGATATATTTAAACAAGATATACTTCAGGGTGCGGACCACCTCCATTGGTGTCCGGGTGCTCCCAGCAGAGACGGTCCCTGAACTGCTGCTTTCCTGCTCTCCCGTTTTTCCTCTCTATTAGTCCGTGCAGCCACTATCTATTGAGGCTTTATCCTTCAGTAGGTTGGTTCGGTGTGCAGTGACTCCATGGAGCGGTCCTGTTCCATGTCGGTCTGCACATACGCCAGCGTCTCTTATAGAGATCATAGTACTCACCCTGACAAGTCCTTCATCTACCTTTTCTGCAGGAAACAGCACTAGTTCACACACTATTTAGGGTCATCATCTACTTCCCGGACTGAGATGCTGGCACGGAGATGACACAGTGATGTATATCCTGGTGTCTGTGTAGTTATTGACTGTGGTAACAAAAGTCTCACACACATCAACTTCCTTCAGTCTGCAGTCTGATCATCAAGGGAGAGCAGACTGAGTAAATGATGTCACCTGCTGATGACATAGTCTCATCCAAGGCAAAGTCTCTAACTGGAGAGCTAGAACTGCATGTCACATACACACACTACTCCAACTTAAGAGGGTTGGAAATTCACTATCTGTCTTCACTAGACCGGGAAATAATGATTAACGATCCCACAGCTGCCACCAACGGTCACGCACAACACACACGCACACACACATGTAGTAATCTAAGCTGCCACCACCCCTAAATGACAGGGTTGTAATCAACCTTTCCCTGGACTCTCCTAGTCGGTACACTCTGTCCTCAAGCAGGCTGGCACACAGGTTTTGCAGACCACACACATTGCTCTCACTAGCAGCAACAGGTTAGCTAAACCAGGCACAATTACCTTTAGAGTTAGTACCTCCACTCACAGTCTTCTGCACTACCACTGGGGGGAGACTCACCCAACTCAAGTTGGCTGGACACACTCAATCTAACATACAATCTAGTGCACTCTAATGGCTGTGTGACAGCCTAAGTGGTTTCCTCACGCCCACTAAGATTCCCCAAGCTATCCTCTCAGCTAGAACCTTGTCATACCCACTTCTTCCACTGCCCACTCACACCCACATCATACACCCAGATCCCTGCCTTGTTTCAGATCTCCATTATTATACTGTGAACCACAAAACCAGTTTCCACCCCCCTGAGACCAGCCAATCAAATTGAAGGGGCTGCAGGCTGAATATTAACACCTTTTTC